TATAAAAAGCAAGCCAATAAAAAGGGCTCCCCAAAGATCATTCCAAGTTGGGGGAAAAGTCTATTTATCCACAAAATATTTACGACTTAAGTTGCCTAGTGAGAAGTTAGGACCAAAGTACCTAGGTCCCTTCCCCATAGTGAGAATCATTAACCCAGTCACGTTAGAATTAAAACTTCCCAGACTCCTAGGGAAAGTCCACCCTGTGTTCCATTATAGCCCATTGAAACCTTTTCGGGGTTCCAATTTATGACCTCCCCCTAAGAAGGTGCCTGGACCTCTTGTGGTAGCTGGACAGACTCATTACGAAGTGAAGTGTATTCTTGATTCTAGAATTTTTAAGGGAAAGTTAAGTACTTAGTACTTAAGTACTTAGTGCAGTGGAAAGGATATCCATTGTCATGAGTAAAATCTAGTGATGTAAAAGCTGACAGACTCATTAATAGATTCTATGAGAAACACCCTAATAAATCAAGGGACAATCCCTAACCTATAACTTTGTTTGAATTTGTCCTATTTGTAAGGGGAGGCCGGATGTCAATGCTAACATTGGTTGTTCCCGCTTTGACAACTGATGAAAATGCAGCCATTTTCTCTATTCTTTTAACATGCTTTTTCTTGCTTTAGAAATTAAGTGCAGCAGAGGTGGGGGGGTTGGAATGTAAACTCAGCTATCCATAACATAACGCTGTGGTAGGAACCCAAGGACAAGCTGATAACGTTTTGGCGGGCTGTGGAGCTAAGGAGAAAGCCCGTGCTTTAAGCTAATTGGGGAATGTGATTTATGACAGTTTATTGGGAGTGGGAATTGCACTTTGTTACTTTGTATCAGGGAGAACGGAATTTAGTTTTGGGGTTCAACTATATAGTACCGATACTTTGTTTCCCGAATAAAATATTCTTTAAGGAAAACAATGCCTCGAAGTTGTTTTGAAGGGTTTCATCTATTGGAACCATGACACATGTATTTACAACAGCTGCTGTGAACTGGGGTCATGTAATTGCCATTTGAGACCTTTTCAGCCGGCATTCGACAAGTAAAGCCAATGGACTTAACAGTCATGTGATTCACTTAACAACTGCAGGGATCTCCTTAACAACCATGGCAAAAAAGTTGTAAAATCAGTCAGGACTCATTTAACAACCATCTTGCTTAGCAATGGATATTGTGATCCCCAGTGTGATCTTAAGTCAATAGATAACATGCTGCAAAACCCTGGATGATCACTAGATGGTGGCGATAATCTTGAAAATACATTTCTGCTACCATCTTGTGGTTCTCTAGATTTTTGCAGCCCCAATCTGATAGCCCTGTTTTCTTCTTCTCTTGATTGGCTTATTCTAAAGGCAAAAGTGAATATTCCAAGGATTATTAATATTCCATTAATGGACCATGATTTGCTTCAACTATAGGAACAGAGAATTAGTGCTCTACACTATTGGACTGGCCAGCTATTCTATTCAGTTCCTATTCAGTTTGCCCAAATCAGAGTAGAGTAGAGTAGAGTAGAGTAGAGTAGAGTAGAGTAGAGTAGAGTAGAGTAGAGCTGGAAGGGACCTTGGAGGTCTTCTAGTCCAGCCCCCTGCTCAAGCAGAAGAACCTATACCATTTCAGACAAGTGACTGTCTAGCCTCTTCTTAAAAATCTCCAGTGGTGGAGCACCCACGATTCTTGAAAGCAAGCTGTTTCACTGATTTATTGTCCTCACTGTTAGGAAATTTCTCCTTAATTCTGTTTGATCAGTTTCTAATCATTGTTTCTTGTCCTGCCCTCTGGTGCTTTGGTGAATAATGTGACCCTCTCTTCTTTGTGGCAGCCCCTTAAATACTAGAATACTGCTATCATGTCTCCCCTATTTCTTCTTTTCTTTAGACTACCCAAACCCAAGTCCTGTAGCCATTCTTCATATGTTTTAGTCTTCAGGCCTTTAATCATCCTCGTTGCTCTTCTCTGAATTTTTTCCACTCTCAACATCTTTTTAGTGATATGGTGATCAAAATTGGATGCAGTACTCCAAGTGTGGTTTTAATAGGGTTTTATAAAGCAGTACTAATACCTTGTGTGATCTTGATTCTATGCCTCTGTTTATACAACCCAGGATTGTATTGGCTTTTTTGACTGCTGCTGCACATTGCTGGCTCATGGTTAAGTGATTGTCTACTAGGACTCCAAGGTCCCTCTCACAATTACTGTTTTTAAGCCAGGTCTTGCCTAATCTAAACTTGTACCTTTGATTTTTCCTGCCTAAATGTAAAACTTTGCTTTTCTCCACAATGAAACTCATTTTATTGGATCGGGCCCATTGTTCAAGTTTGTCAAGATTTTTTTGGATCCTGAGTTTGTCTTCTGGGGTGTTGACTACTCTTGTCAGTTTAGTGTCTATGGGCATCAAAATGGGCATCAAAACATGTGACGGATCCTCTTCTCTGTTCTTTCCCTCTACTGGCAGCACTTAAGAGAACTTAGTAATGCAACAATACAGCATTAAGAAATCTTTTATAATCTGATGTGTACAACTATCACATAGAATCAGGGATGGAATCATTGTGCAGATATTGAAAACAATATGCTTCCTCTGAAGCCTAGTCCGCTCCCAAAACATCTCTGTGGCCAGTGTTTTACAATGGAAAATGGAAAATGGTGAAGAAGCAGAGCAGCAAGTTGGATTGAATGGATTCTACCTTTCCTTCCAAGTTTCCTTTCTGTGATTGGACTGCCCTCTCTAAGGCTCTCAGGAAAAATCATCTAAACCAGGGGTGTCAAACTCAATTTCATTAAGGGCTGCATCAGCACTGCGGTTACCCTTGGGGGGCCAGGTGGGTGTGGCCAGGGTGGGTGTGGCCTACTGGATGGGCATGGATGGAGTGGGTGTGGCCTGGGCAGGAGTGGGACAGATCTGAGGGTCTCTGGCAGAAGAGGGTGGGACCAGGGCAAGTGCCAAAGCATGGTCCACTGGAGGAGCCTCGCTGTTCCTCTCAGGCCATGCGGGGGGGCTGGATGGTGGCGCAGGCTGCCCAGAGCCCTGGGCAGCAGAGGTCAAATGCCCAGCCTGGTCCTTGAGCACCCACGGCACCAAGCCCAGCCCCACTTCCCCAAGGGGGCACCCAGCTGCTGCTGCTGTGCTTGCTCTCCTTAGCCAGTTGCTCATGATGGGTATGAGGGCAAAGTCAGAGGGAGGCCCACTCCCTCTCCATGGGAGGAGACCCGTTTTGTATCCAAAGCTTCCTTAGCAATAGAATGGGAGACCCCAAGATGGGCCAGGAGGAGGGAGCAAGGGGATGGTGAAAGGGCAGCAGGGCAGGGCTAAGGCAGGACTTCCCTAAGACCCTCCCTCTTCTTCTTTCCTCCTTTCATTCCTTCCTTCCTATGTACAGAGTGGTGGGAAACTATTTGAGATGAGGGAGGGAGAAAAACAGGCAAGAAACGCAGCTGTGGACGTGTCACCCTTCATGAGGAATGAAGAAATGCACCATCGCCTGGAAATGACCAGCACATGGCCATCATCTACTTCACATATCTGGCTTGGTGGGCTCTGGAGGAGGAGATGCCATGAGCAGCGTAAGAGTCAACGTTACCTGCGCAATGCTGCCCAACCGCCAGCCTGCCCGGTTTCGGCAGGCAGTGAGGCACTCTCCTGACAGCACCGAGAGGCTGAATCAGGCGAATCAGAAAAGAAGCGTGACGCCGCCCAGCCCCGAGCCTGTCTAGTCTCAGCAGGAAGCAGGCCACTCACCTCATAGTGCTGAAAGTCTGAGCCAGGTGGCACAAATCTGAAAAGCATGATGCTGCCCAGCCCCCAGCCTGTCTGGTCCCAACAGGCAGCGGGGCACTCTCCTAACAGCACTGAGAGGTTGAGCTGGGAGGCATGAAGCTCACCAGCTTTGCACCTTGCTGCCTGCTAAAACTGGGCAGGCTGGGGGCTAGGCATTGCACTTGTTATCAGAGTTGCACCACCCAGCTCAGCTCTTGGAGCTGTGAGGAGAGCGCCCTGCTGCCTGCTGAAATTGGGCAGGCTGGGGTCTGGGCGGCATCACGCTTCTTTTTGGATTTGCACCACCCAGCTCAGCCTCTCAGTGCTGTGAGGAGAGGGCCCCCACTGCCTGCCGAAACCCATCCCCCGGAGCCCATCAAGCCAGATATGTGAAGTAGGCGAGAGCCATTTGCTGGCTACTTCCAGGTGATGGTGCATTTCTTCATTCCTCACAAAGGGTGACATCTCCCCAGCATGAACCCAGGGGACGGGGCCGATGTAACAGGGCTGGTTCCTCACTGTTTCCAGACAGCCTTGTGGAGCTAAGACTGAATACATTTCAGCATAGATGGCCACCACAAAATTGTATATTAGCTCCCGGCTGGCCTGGGGCAGGGCCAAGGCAACAGGGGCTGTTCCCTCACTGTTTCCAGGATGGAAAACACTTCATGGGCCGCATCTGGCCCCTGGGCCTTGTGTTTGACATGTCTGATCTAAACAACAGGAGATCATTATCAGAATTGTGGAGACCATTCTGTAACATGAGCACATCCATGAACATACAGCATAATGCTACATGCTGTGCCAGAAAGGGTTAATTTCATTCAAATGGAAAGTATCATAAGAGATTCTCCCAAAGCTGATTATGCAAGGAAGAAACAAGTATAAAGAAACTGCATTCAGAAGTCTGAATGATGAGAAACTTCCACTGTGTTTCAGAACTCAGTTTGTCTTAACATCCTTTTGCAACAATATATTATCAGAAAAAGTGATTGGTTTAAAAGAAACACTATGCAAAAGGAAATAATGTTTTCATTTTTATTTTAAAGATCAGCTAAATCTTTTGGGAAAATACTGAATTATATGTAAATTACTTTGACACAAAGCAAAAGGAAACAGCAGGCAAATCTTCACCTGTAGAATTTGGAAAATCGGGAAATGTGGCAGAGTTAATCTAATAGTATTTAGCTTGCAAAGAAAATTTCAAATATATATTACACAAAAATGTAAATAAAGCAATAAAGTTACCTTTTGATAATCACCAGGCTTATTTCCAAATGTCTGCTGCACTAACTTTTTGATAAGATCTGTAAAAAAGCAAGAACATTTCCAGCTTTTAGAGATATTCTAAAAAGAGAATTAAAAAAAAACTTGTAAACACCATTTATACCCAATAATCCTAGGGTACCAGTATTCAATAGAGAAATGATAGGGCCCTCTTTATTGTTTCAGCTATCCCATAAGCATTTCTATTGACAGAGGCCTTTAGGATTTTTAGGGATAAAAAATGGGTTTTTAGAAGTTCCATAGTCATTCTATTAAAATATCCCAGTTATTGGTCCCAAAATTGGTATCAGGTCATAAAACAAAGAAGAAAAATATGCAATAGAAAAGACACACTGCTTAAAAGCAAAGAGTTGAACAAGGTAAAAGGGATTATTTTTAATACCCTCAAAATACTGCAAAGTACTCATTTTTCATCTATATCCAAAATTTAATAGAATAACAGAGTTGGAAGGGACCTTGAAGTTCTTCTAGTCCAACCACCTGCTCAAGCAGGAGACCCTATACCATTCCAGAGAAATGGCTGTCCAGTTTTTTCTTAAAAGCCTGAAGTGATGGAGCAACAGTGATGGGGTCGATCTCACATTTTTTTAGCTTACCAAGTGTCAGGATTCTGACTGATGAACCCAACGAAATAAACACAGCTGAGATGATTAAATCTCTAATGTAAAACTTTGAGTGTACCATTTCGGCACAGATGAAAGTGAAAACCAGCTCTGAGGTTTTTGCATCTAATTTGACATATTAAAAGAATAGAAATCTCCCTCCCAGGCAGTTGTTATGAGAGAATCCACAATCTTCAATAAACATTCCTCCGCATGTCCTTGCTTCTCACGATGTAGCTGGCAGATGCTTACGGCTCACATTCCAATCACATCCCTCCCCCCATGCTGTTGGCAAGCTACGGATCAGTTATGTCTGCACCAGCCTGATCACTCTGCCAGGCAGCCTCCCTAAAAGCCAGAAGGAACCTGGAAAACAATAAGTACAAATTAGTTTCTGTAATGTCCATTATCCTGGTGGTCCTGTCTTTTGGGAGTACTTAGTATGGAACTTGGTAACCAAGTGATCTGCTTTAACATGGTGAGCTTTTGTCCATCTTGCCTCTGAGATCAAATAGGCTCTCCACTGCACTAAGTACTGTAATCTCCCTCTGTGTATTCTAGAATCTAAAATTCATTTTATTTTGTAATGCTCTTCACCTCCCACCATGATAGGACCGGGGGCTCCCCTTTCAACTAGTCTTATCCCGGATCCATGAACTGGCTTCAGTAGGCTAGAATGGAAAATGGGATGCATCTTGTCCAGTATCCTAGGTACTTTTAACTCTATTGTAACTGGATTGATCACCTTCACTATTAGGAAAGGCCTATGTATTTTGGACCCGATTTCTTACCTGGCAGTCTCAGACATAAATACTTTGTGGAGAGATACATTCTATCTCCTACATGAAATGCTCCATGTAGCACTCGTCTCTTGTCTTCCTACTTCTTTTGGCTTTTTGTTGCTTTATCTAGGGCTTTCTTTACATTGCCCCAGACGCTTTGGAATGAGACTACCCAGTCGGACAAGGTCACTGATGAGGGGGGCTCTTGAGGACCTTCTGGCATGGGCATGAATTCTACCCCAGTAGCCACCTTAAACAGGGTGAATCCTGTGCATCTATGCAAACAGCAGGAGTCTTGCCCAGTTAGGCTGTTGGTAATTTACATAGCAATGCAGGTACTGTTCCACCATTGCATTGGATTGTTCTGCAGCCCAATTGGTAGGATGAAACGCTGAACTAAGCCCCTGTGAAGATCCAATCATCTTTATAAACTCCCTCCAGAACCTAGCAGTGAACTGAACCCCTTGCTCTGAAATGATGAATTTGGGCACCCCATGCAGGCAGTAAATATGCTACAGGAACATCTTTGCTAGCTTTTGGGCTGAAGGAAGTCCAGGGCGTATGACAAAATGGGCTTGCTTGGAGAACAGGTCCACGACAGTCAAAATCAAGCTATTCCCCCCATTCTCAGGCAATTCCACTAAATCCATGGCTATCTGTTCCCAGGGTCAGGATGGGTCTGCAACTTGCTGCAGCAGTCCAGAACTCTTCCCTGGCATTCTTTTACTGGCAGCACATCCAGCACAGCTTTTCACATAGCTTTCAATGTCTTTTTTCATCTTTGGCCACCAGAATTGATGGTTGGTCAGATGCAAGGTCTTTAGAAACCCAAAGTGGCCTGCTTGCTTTGGGTTTTGCAAGTTTTGCAAGTTTTCCATTGCAAAACTTGCACTCAAAAGTGGTCGGAGACATACAGCTTATCCCCCTTACAGTCTACTCCCTCTCTTAGGGTCAGTTCCTCTCTAAAAGCTCCGATGTAATGTGTCTGACTAATGAAACACTTCAAAGAACTTTCAGGCATTGTTTAACCTAAATAGCCTTTATTAGTGTAAAGGAATCTCAGCACGGCATAGAGAATGCCAAAATGTGTATTTCCCTTCCTTCGCACATAACATTCCAGGAATTTCCCCTCCCCTATTTTGGGGTCATGATTCACATTTTCCAATTAGCCTGGGGGGCAAAGATTCACTTCCGTTCCCTTCTGCGCGCTTTTCTCTCCTTTTGTAAAGCAGTTTTTGTGTTTCTCCAAACTTCTTCCCACCCCCTCACCCATTGGTCAAATGTCTGGGAAGCAGAGGGCACCTGAGGGTATTCAGGTATTGGGCTGAACTCTTTTCCTGTGGCCACTCTGAACGGCATGCAGCCGGTGCTGCTGTGCACAGAATTATTGTACACCACCTCTGCAAAAGGGAGGAGGTCAGTCCAGTTCGTCTATTGGTAAGAAACGTAGCATCTAAGATATTGCTCCACCATTTTGTTAGCGGATTCTGCAGCCCCATTGGTGGCAGGATGAAAAGCAGATGATAAACCTTGAGATGATCCAATTAATTTAAGAAAACTCCTCCAAAACTTCGCTGTGAACTGCACTCGCCTGTCCAAAATTATTTGCTTAGGGGCACCATGCAGCCGGTAGATATGTTTCAGGAACAATTTGGTCAGTCATTGGGTAGATGGGAGTCCTTTGCAGGCGATGAAATGAGCCTGCTTCGAAAACAGGTCTATCACAGTCCAGATGACAGTATTTCCTCTACTTTCAGGTAGGTCTACTATAAAGTCCATAGCTATTTCTTCCCAGGGTTGAGAAGGGTCTGCAGTAACCCAGGGTTTTTCCCTGGGATTCTTTTCATTGTGGCACATACAGTACAACTTTTTATATAGTTTTCCACATCCCTTTTCAGCCCCGGTCACCAAAATTGTTGTCAGGTGAGGTGTAGGCTTTTCAAATATCCAAAGTGTCCAGCCTGTTTTACATCATGGCTGTGTTTGAGAGCATTAAGATGGAGGGCTTCTGCCAAATATAGTTTCCCCCCTTTGTAAGCCAAGCCATCCCTGCACGTTAGGGAGGTTTGATTATCTTTGAACTATTGATTGGTGAGGAGCTCTCATTTTATTTTCTTTACCACACGGTCATCAGGATTGGGGACCCTGCAAGGCGTAAGTTGAGCAGCAGTTTGTGGATTGGGGATAATTGCCCTGTTCTCCTCCCGTTCTCTTTTGTATTGGGGTAACTGGGATAGCGCATCAGCTAGGAAGTTTTTTCCTCCTGGTATGTACTTTAGAGTGAAGTTGAAGCGGTTAAAGTACTATGCCCACCGCACAGGGAGTTTTCAGTGCTTCTAGATTTTTGTGATCTGTCCATACTTCAAATGGTACTTTGCTCCCTTCTAGATAGTGTCGCCAGTTTAATAGTGCCCACCTAATTGTGAAGGCCTCTTTCTCCCAGATTGCCCATCTCCGCCTGCTTTCAGTAAATTTCTTAGAGGTGTAGGCGCAGGGTTGCAGAACCCCACTTTTGTTCTTTTGTAGTAACACAGCTCCAACTGCCACATCGCTGGCATCGGCTTGAATCACGAAGGGCTCCCCTGGGCAGGGGTGCTTTAGGACCGATTCAGCAGCAATTAGTCTCTTTAAATTCTCAAAAGCTGTTTCACAGCCCATCGGCCATGCTAGTGGTTGGCCCGGTCGTGGCTTCCCTCCTCCTTTGCCTGTTTTGAGTAGTTCTGTAAGGGGTAGGGCAATGTCGGCAAAAGAGGGGATGAATTGACAATAAAAGTTGGCAAAACCCAGAAAGCTCTGGAGCTGTTTGTGAGTCTTTGGGGACTACTATTCGATTATAGCTTTCACCTTGACTGGATCCATTTCAATACCCTCGTTGGAAATTCTGTAGCCAAGATAATCTAATCGGGTCTGGTGAAATTCACATTTTGACAATTTGGCATAAAGCTTGGCATTCAATAGTTTCTTTAACACTTCTCTCACCAGCTTTATGTGATCAGTCATATTTGTGCTGTATATCAGGATATCATCAAGATAACCAAAACCCCTTTGTACAAGTGATCATGTAGGACCTCATTAATCAACTGCATAAATACGGCTGGGGCCCCCTGGCATGACTCTGAACTGATAGCTCCCTATAGCCAGATGGGTTAATAAGTCCATTTTAGGATGGGGAGGGGATATTTTTTTTCCACACTCACAGCATTGAAACTCTTATAGTCTACGCGCAGAGATGAAGAGATCCATCTTTTTTTTCTTTGAACAACACAGGGGCTCCCATGGTAGATTTGGCCCGTTCGATGAACCCCCTCACTAGGTTTTTGTTCACATATTGCTGCACCTCCTCCATTTCGAGGGAGCGACATAGCATACATTCTCGGGCGTGGGAGTTTGGCTCCTGGCACCAGTTTGATGGAGTCTCTGAGTGGGCAGGGCATCGCATTCTTTTTTCACTAAATGCCTCCACCAGGTCCCAGTATTCATTGGGGATGAGTGGATCGCTTGGCGGTGGTGAGGCAGTCATGTGCACTCGCTCATTGGGTGGCCTAAGGTGTCCTGCAACATCAGTTGAATCAGCGGGAGGTTTAGGCCCTATAGGTAGTCTCACAGTTCTCATTCCTTTCTCCCACCAGATAAATG